ATTTTTGCTAAATAATTTGCGCGTCATGCTTTTTCACGACTTGCTCCTTCCCCTCCTATGTTCAAAAATTACTCATCCCAAGAATGTATTTTAAACTTGAAATTTCGATAAAGAAAAGAAACAAATATCGAGAGAACGATACTTGCTTACGGTGAAAAACTATTAAATACACGCAATATCTTGATTCTTTTTTATTTAGTTCTTTTTTCTTTTTTTATGTAAGCTCTGAGCAAAGAGATGAAAAAAAAAATTTATTTTCCCACCATTCTTACCTCCGTTTTCTTTCATGACGTCATTGAATCGGCATCTGAGGGAAGTTAAAAAGCAAAAATTATATTTATGATTCTTTTTTTACCGAGAACGAAGGTTGGGTATTAGCTAGTTTGTATTAAAGTTCTTTTCATATTTTACAATTTTATGAAATAAATTATTCTTTACAGTACTATGACTTTAAATGTTCTAATGCAAAAGTTATTTCTAGAAATATGTGATATTTTAAAACTTTGAATCAACACTACACCATTATCAGTAACACACTACAAGTATTACTGATCATATTAAGTGAAATAGTTCTGAAAATATACATTGTCAAAAACTGTCTATGTTACTTTTATATTTGAAAAATAATTGCTATTAAGGTAACATAAAATTATAGATATAAAATAAAAGAAATTTTGAAAGCAATGCTATTTGTTAGTAAGGAATGAACAAGCTTTACTTTTGACAAATGCTAATATCTATACAAACTAAACTGTACGACAGTTACGTATAAGAGTTTATTGTAATTAATTGATATATCTCTGCATTTATAATTTGGATTTATTACTTTAACATTGCGGATTGTTTTTTAAATCCTATCAAAAAGTATTGAAAGTTTAATACAAATTTATTTTTTCAGATTGTTTTAAACAAAAAATTTTTGATTTGTTCTTTGCTCTGTAATTTAAAAACCTGATATATTAAAATTAAATACTCGCTGCTTAAAAATTAAAGACATGTAATATAAACTGTTTAACTTCTTTTTAACTATATATAATTGAGATCAATCAACAAAATTAACAATAAAGGAAATAATATAAAAAGTAATAATATATAAAGTAATAATAACGTAGCGTAAGTCAACGTAATAAATCTAAGCGAAAATAACGGTAAAAAAAAAGTTAATCGAATTCAAAATGCCATGAAAAATTTACTTAAATTCATCAATATTAAAACGCATTTTCCGTTTGAACTGTAATTATTTTTCTTCTCTGCAAATAAATAAAATTCGGAACGAAAATTGATAAAAAAAAATAATAATAATAATAACAATAGATCTTTCAAAGCAAAGATTTTGACTGGTGATGAAAAAGATGATCTGAAAAGATTTCTATATTCTTTCAAAAAGAAAAAAAGAAAGTTCACTAAGAAGAAGAGTGATAAATATTTCTATTGTTTCGATTGATTGCCTTTTCCAGTTTTTTCTTGCACTGAGCAAAAATATAAGGTATAGCAGCTGCCCCGTAATGATTATCTTTTTAGAATCCTTGTGAAAGAAAAAAAAAAACAAGTGAAACATAAAGACACATTAAAGGTAGGAAATTATAATTTTTAAGATAAAAAACTGTAACCAATATTTATAAGAGCAAAGATGGGATTAAAATCATCAAAAACTAATTCATTTGCCTAAAGGAATAGGTATACATTCCCGTTTAGGTTCATTTCAAATAAACTGATATCAGATTATTTAAATTTAGCCGTTGAATGTTTCAAAAATTATTTTTACTCAGTTTTTTAAAAAAAAATTTCTTAAGTAAAGCTACATATTTCTTTGTTTCTTGAGAATCGTATTTATTAAAAATTATATAATCATACATCAATTTACCTGACCTAGACCTCCAGTCGAAGATCCACGGATGAGAAAACCCTGACCTCTGACCTGTTACCCCTGACCTGTATTGAATTTCCAAAGATACATTAGAAATAGAGATTGAAGTGAATTTAGAATTTCTTCAAATAGTTTTGTAGAGAAAAGAAACATTGCTAACTCTCTGTCAATATTTAAGAGGCTTAAAACTAATCAAATGACTAAGTCAACAAGTTTTAATTAAAGTAAGATAGACTGCCTGAGAATTAAAAAAAAAAAAAAAAAACCAGCCAGAAGACATTTATATTTGCCTTATTTATAAGAACATAACAATCTTTTGTATGTACGATATACAGGAGTATTAGATTTACAAACTTGTAGGAAGTAGTGCACGCAAACTCTAAAAAGATGGTGGGAAAGCATAAAATGTTGTGATTCAAAAGATTATTCTAGAGAATTAAGCGAAAACATAGTACAGGATAAAAAAGTTTTGCTCTGTTGTTTTTCCTCATTCACATCTAGCGAGTCTTGAGAATGGGTCCCTATTTTCGAGAGCTTGTAACATGTCAACTTTTACAATCTTCATAAATTTTTTTGAAGGAAGTGAAATTTTTTCACTATCAATTTATTCCTAAATGGTGTGAGCAAAATTTATCGCTATTTTATCTGAAAGCAAAATTTTAATCACTTTTAAACCCAAGCAAATCGACATGAAACTGAAAATAATAAAATGAAAAAAACTAAACCTTTTTTTGTTAGTTTATTTAAAAAACGTAGTTTTTTAAAAATTTATTTTATTTTATTAGTCCTCAATGTGAAAAAAAAAGGAAATAATCTACAAATTAAAACTGATCAATGGTAAGAAATCACTCAGAAAACTGAAAGGCATATAACACATTTAATAAAGCTACAATAAATCCAACTTATTTCTTTTTTACTTAATATCATACTATGCCTTTCCCGGTGGCTTTACGTCATCAGATTAAACAAAACACGTTTATAGTAGTTCATCTCATAATTTATTTATTTATTTATTTATTTATTTTATTTTATTTATTTATTTATTTTATTTACTTATTTTATTTATTTATTTATTTTACACGTTTAAGCTGATGATTGACTTTGCTTCGTTTAGGTGGCATAGTTTTGTAAATACAAACGAAAAGAAATGTCAATGTTGACGATGGTCGTAGATTTACCCAACAGAAAATTCTCTAAATATTATATAATTTAGAAGCAAGGATAAATAATCATTAAAAACCTTAAAACTAAATTTTTATTAATTGGTTCTGAAAGCCAAAATAAGTATCTTCTGCAATTTAAATTACAACAATGCGCAATTTTAATCCACTGAGAAAATTTGTTTTTCTCTCATCCCGCTCGTACGGTTCGTAGTAGAATATTCTAGTATCGTCAGCGATCTACCCCGCGTTTCGAACTATCACTATGCCAAATTTCATCGCTCTCGCAGGTTATATCTGTGTCGAAGGATTTAAGAATATATAAAGGAGAGACAGGTGTTCATTTTTGTATCTAAAGATTATCCAATAAATTGCAAGCTGGGAAAGATAAGACGACTGGTTGCAAGATGAAATTTTATCTTTATTAGATATTGTCTGTATTAGATATATTTTTTTATACTGCTATTGTTATCGATATCTAAAGGAGATAGAACCATGCGAGATCACGAGCAAATGTGTAGATAATAGCAATATCTCAAATCTGGAAAAGAAGCAATTTTATTTATTAGGAGCAATTTTATTTATTTAATAACAAAAAATTGTCCTAAGAAAATCTCTTTAGGGTTACCGTTATAGTCTTAATCTTAGCACTGAGAAAATAACATCTCTATATTAGAAAATCGTAAGGCCACCGCCGTAGTTTTTGGTGTGCAACTTTACGCTAAATTTTTTGCTGCTCAAAAACTGTAAGATTTAAAAGTTTGAAATTACACAATTGCATAGAAAATTTTATAGTAAATGCGATGGAATAAAAAAATTGACACTCGATAATAAGTAATCGAACTGTTACACTCTTAGAGGAGTAATATCTCCTCTAAGGTTACACTTGAGGAAAAAAAATAATACAGTGCGGGTCGCTCTGCAGGCCTCTTTTGTAATTACCTCAACGCAGATTTTTTTAAATGTTTTTTTTTTTTTTTTTTTTTTTTTTTTTTTTTTTTTTTTTTTTTTTTTTTTTTTNGAGAAGAAAGCCTTTTTTTTTTTTTTTTTTTTTTTTAAGAAATACAAATTTGTTTAAAAGTTACTGCAATTTGAAGTGTTTTTTTTTCGTTGCAAATTTTTTTTCTATCTTGCATTAAGTTACATTTAGTTGCGTTGAGCAAAAACCTTCAGATTTAGATTACGAGGTATGTTGAACAATATACAAGGGGTACGATGATATTCAACTAAGATTAGTTCAAAAATTATCAATTGCTAAATTTTAGTCGCAGAAAAAAAAGCATTCGAGACGTTTAAAAGATAGCTGGATGGTGGCAACAACTAAGTTGGATGTACTTTGAGGTGTTGAAAGGGCCATTTTCATAAACAAACTATGTGCAATTATTTTATTATTATTATTATTTTGAAATTCTTATTAGTTCGAAAATAATTGCAAACATCAATTAATTGTAAGAAACTAAATAATATGCTATTCATAGTCTAATACGAAATTAGAATATAAATATCACGATAAATCCTCAAAAAATATTGACATATCACTATATTTTTTTTTCTTCAGGTTAATCACAATTTGCAATATTTTTATGTAGGTCAATATTTCCGTTACCCTAATAAAATTTATCAACAGTCACCATACATTCGATAATTCTAGCTATCGATTGATATTCGTTAATTAATAATATTATTGTTGTTGATGATTATCGTATGTTCGATATTTATTGTAAGATTTCCGAAGCACAATCTTTTGAATCTATTTGAATATATCATGATAGCTATACTGAAAAATATCGAGATTTCAAGATGTTCTGCCAAGCTGTTGTCGTCATTTTTGTATTCTATTTTAATTCATAGCCAGGGTCGTCATGTGGGGAGTTTTTTTTCTCTCTGATCAATACCTTGACGTTAAAAGAAAATCTAAGGGAGAAAAAAAAAACTAGAACACTAAAAAAAAAATAATAATACGGGGAACTGCTAGACGCCGCCGAAATAAGTCAGACAGGTCAATTACCTGGAAGCTCACTAGATTTCTATCAACTTCCTATACCCTCAGCTCTGACTTCCCTAGATTTCACATATTTGCTAAAAACTTTTTAAAAAAATCATCTTTTAAACTTAGTTATTTATCAATTCGATTCCTATTTCTGATCTTTCGAACAATTCTTCCGGCGACAAAATCAAGGTCAGGGAAAGGTGATAACGCCAAAAGCAGCGGACAGACGACGCGCCACCAACATTTATCTCCGCTTATATATTGAAAAGTGCGGAATAAATTTTCTACTCTTTAACGGACGAGTGGCTTAGTGTTAGTTAGTGCCTGTGATACTGGAAAAAGAAACTTAGTATTTTCTCACCTTTTTACATCGTAAAGATTCAGGATGAGTTATAAACCAAATTCCAAGGTTCAGGTGAAACACACTCAGGTAAATTGTTTATTTTATTACTTCCAGATGTTATAAAAATAGGATCAATATGAATTGTGCTCTTATTCTTAAAGATTTAAGAATTACTGTACTTAATTTATAAAAAAAGGTTTAATATGAGTCTGAAATTTTTTTTTTGTTGAAAAAATACTGTATTTATTATACAATAAAAAAGATCAATAAAATATTTATTGTGCACTTATTTTCATAAATTTGAGAATTACCTTACCAAAAAAAAAAAAAAAAGGAAAAAAAAAAANTAAATATAAATGCTTAAATTATACTTGCAGAACTACTGTACTTATTATTGTTATTTTATACTAGTCTCCACCAGCGACCAGTATAAAATAGCAATAATAGGTACATTTACTGTTCCGTCTTTTTAAATAAAAATTTAAGTACTTTGTGATTTAAAACTGTACAATAAAAAATTTAGACAATATGTAAGTATAAAATCATATTTCTGAATAAAAGTGAATTGAATCTTACATGTTCGCACTTTAAGATCTGGGCATTTTGAGCAATTTTTTAGATAGGTATCATAGTGAATTTTTGATAAAATGTTCGGTATAACATGAGCTAAAATTTTAAATAATTTCAATGGTTAGAGGGGGAAACTTCAAATATGCTACTTAATTACTGCAGACGATATTTTATGTTATGCTACTTAATAACTGCAGACCATATTTTATGTTATGCTACTTAATTACTGCAGATGATATTTTATGTTATGCTACTTAATTACTGCAGTCGATATTTTATGTTATGCTACTTAATAACTGCAGACGATATGTTATGTTATGCTACTTAATTACTGCAGACGATATTTTATGTTATGCTACTTAATTATTGCAGACGATATTTTATGTTATTCTACTTAATTATTGCAGACGATGTTTTATGTTATGCTACTTAATTATTGCAAACTATATGTTATGTTATACTACTTAACTCTGAATAAACATACTTTTCTCAGAAATCCGACTTATTCGGATTTCTGATATAGGCGGTAGCCGCAATCTGGGAAATATAGTCCCAATTAGGTCAGGAGAGAAGATCAAAGTTTGGACTCCCTAATGTTAATTTTACTTTTTACTTATTGCACCATACTTCGAGTGCTTTTCAAGCGAATTGAAAAGTTTGTGCACCAATTTTAAAATTCGTTTGTCTAAGCAAAACTCCATGTTAAAAATAACTTTTAGTAAATATTTCTTATTTTATTATTTTATTTAATATTAATAGAAAACTTTTTGAATTATAAGGCATACAATTTTTATATGATTTTTAAGAATTTAATAATACATAGCAAAATACAATATTTGAGTGAGATCTATTGAATAATTCCTGAGAAATTTAATTTTTAAAATAAGACTTTTTTAAAGTTTGATTCCACAGGAACTATTCGACCGATTTCACTCAGATCTCTTATTTTGTCATGAAAAATTACGTTTTTAAAAATAATGCAAAAAATTTTATACCTTTACAATTCAAATTTTTTTCGACAATAATTAAAATAATAAAAAATTATAAACATTTACTAAAAATTATTTTTTGCATGAAATTATTTTTGGTCAAACGAATTATATTTGTGTGCAAAAATATTTCAATTCGCTTAAAAAGTTCTCGAGATCTAACAAAATACGCGAAAAGTGAAATTGACGTTAAGGGGCTCAAACTTTGGACCACACTCCTGATCAAACTATGGAGAACATATTACCCAGATTGCGGCTACTCTCATGTTTTGGGGATCAGAAATTTGAATCTGTCGAAAAAAGGGTATGTTTATTCAGAGAAAGTACGTTTTTATATCTGATTTCGTAACTTAAAATATCGTCTGCACTAATTAATTAGCCTATTTGAAGTCACCCACTTGAACCATTAAAATTGAGTCACAGAACGTGAAGATTTACATCAAAATCATTACATTAAAAGTTATTGAAGACTATCTGCTTTTTATTTTGCGCACTGAACTATTTTTTAATTTTTTAGAACGAATAATGAAACTTTATAATATCCTTTAACAATTTGATCGCAACTAGCAACAACACTCGAGTTTCAAGGCGTTGATCGTGAAAATTTTTTGTCGTGTACATTAATTCTAGCAAATAATAATAGTTCGTAATGTTTTTACCTTTTACAATACATTATGCTTTTACCATTCCATCCAAGGTTGATTTAAAAAACATAAAACCTCCTCTTCTCACAATTGACGTTTTCTATTTCTGTCCTTGGTGTTTCATTTCTACAATTATTATGTTAGGCTTTGGCCTTGAATTTTTATAGTGGGCTAGATTTCATCCTCGTACATATGATTAATAATTTTTAACTCTATAACGTATATTTGTATAGTTTAATTTGTGTTGTTCGTAGTCCGTAACTATTCAAACTAAATTATGTGAAATTATTTATGGAGAGGAAGGCGTTGAAGATTCAATGTTACACTGTTTAGGTGAGAACTAATAATAAGGAAGCTTTCAATTGACTTTTAAATGGCTCTGTAGACAAAGTAAATTAACGATCGTATCTAGCGAATCTACAGAGGCGTAGTTATGCAGCTTTTCAATAAAACAAAAGTTCCTTACTCCCAACACCTTTTTACAAAAATTTTTAAAAAAAAGTGTCCTTGTCAAATTTTATTCCCGAAATTTAATTGTAACATTTGCATGTGTATTAAAATTTAAGATACGACCATACATCCAAAGCCATCATATTATCGAAATAAGTTTTAACAATCTTAAAATGAAATAGTTAACAAAAAAAAAAAAAAAAATTAGGAATATTTCCGTATCGTGATCTGTTTCACCAACAACAATAGACGAAACTCCCAAATGGATTTTAAACTGGAGAAATTTTTTTATAAGAAGATGTAGTGGTTTGCCCGGGGGTGACTACAAATTATGTCCCAGTTGATCCCTTTCTGTGATTTTTTTTTCTCGCGGGCATATGCCCGGAAGTTGCAAAGACTTCGCGATTATTCTGACGCTGATCACGATACGGAAATCTTCCCGAAAATTATTTTAAAACTTACATTTTCTTCTTCGACACTATGTTATGTGTAACAAATACAAATAATTTAACTAATTGATACTCTTCGCTTTGTAATTGTTTTTATTTAATTATTACGCATATAAATAGTTATTATAGAATGGCATCAATGAACTATTTTTCAGTCTTAATTTTAATAGCGTAAAATATATTAAAAAAATTTTTTATTGAATTGTAACGGTACAGAAATAAATAAGTTTAAAAATATCTGTCTACAATAATAAAAGGAAAAATTTCTGCAGGTGTGTGTGCTTATGTTTGTGCTAATGTCATGAAATTCAGACAACAGGTGAAGTGTGAATTTCAGCCTCCAATCCCAAATTTGTTCGGGAGAGACGTATAAAAAATAAATTCTTTCTCTTGATTTTAGCATTAGTCATTGTTTCAAATTAAACTATAAAAGATTTTTTCGAGTATTTAAAAAATATTATCCGTCATGTTTGCTACCTCATTACTCTATTTAATAAAAAAGGAGTTTATTAAATGCTCGTTAATATTTAATTTTTTATTTATTATCTCAAAAAAGTTCAATGATCAACATGACCATAGTATCATAGGCAGACTACGCTACCAAATTAGTATTCCTAAAATTATCTAAAACCACTTATTTTATTTATAGTTATGCTTTTGAACTATGTTTTTATAAAACTAAGTAATATCAAATCAACGGTAATTGAATAAACTAGTTACGTGCGGCGAATAAAATTTATGAGAAAAAGGTACTTACTCGTTTCGGGAAACCGTAAGGATAGCCATATTGTTATTGACACCAATGGTGCTTAATTAATTATCACAATTGGTACTACTAGTATTAGTATAATTTAATTTGTACCAGATATAACTAATAATGGCATTTAATATTGATTCCATGGTATCTAATATAGATACTGTGTTCATAAGTTTTTTACTGCCTCCCGAAAAGTATAAGTACTGAGAAAAACTTCTTCACTGAGGTAAATGTGGATTAGCATGAGTTTGCTTCTAGAAATAGCATTATACCAAATGAATATACTTAATTTTTTTTATTTTGAAGGAATAAACTTGTTATTAAAAACTCACGACAAAGAAGGGAAAATTCAATTATAATAATATTATTTGTTATCCTTCTAGGTGACTTTACGTTATTAAGTTAAGCAAAACTCTTTTATACAACGAAAAATTGAATCAAATTTGATTCAAGAAACTGTTGTACAGTTTTATGCATGGTTGATGTGATTTTACGTGGCCTGAAAATACTCTATTACTATAATCAAGAATATTATTTCGAATTCATCTATGTAAATGACATTAATAAAGAATGTATTATTATTTAAGGTTATGAAGGGCTTAATTATTAAATTAATAGTATTTATTACTTGGTATTTATTAATGCCGCAAGATTTACTCTGAAGGAATAGAAAAAATGAGGAAAAATTCAACTCTGAAAAACCCAATTAAACCGTGAAAAAGTCCTCCCCCCAAAAAATAAATAAATAAAAAATAAGGGGGTTTGGTTTTTTCTAAAAACTTTGTTTTTACGGACATTAATTTCTTGAGTTAAGTTGATTTTGTTTCATGATCGAAATGTAAAGAAATATATTATAAAATCATTTTTCAATATGCAAAAAATTAATATTTTATTTAATAATTTTTGTAATATCACAAAATTACTTATAACTGTCAATTAAATCTAATTAATTGAATCTTTTTTTTAAATTCGTAATTTATCGCATTTATGAGTTAACTTTCTTCTCAGCTAAATATCCCTAATTAAAAAGAATGTCTCTTGTCAAAGGTTTTATTTTTCAAGTTTTCATTTGTTTTCTTTTCCACTGTATTTTGCCTCTTATCAATTCGGTTTGTTCATGTGTCAAGTTATCACTGGGTGATTTTTATCAGCATTTTTCTAGATTCTCATATCTGACCTTTTCAAGGTTTACCGAAATTTATCGTTTGAAGTTTCTTTTTATTTTTTT